GCAGGTTTGACTCCACACCACTTTCAGGTTGTCTCAGTGCTTTTCGACGCTGACCTCTTCGCTGGTGTTGATTTGTGTCTCCACATTTTCCTTAAATTGGCAGTGAAGATGTCCTTCATATCCAGATCTTTCCGTTTTTGAGTATTTAACTTGCCTTGTGGTCTATCTGCAGCTCCTGTTTCTCTAAAAGTTTTTAATTTGATTTGGATTGTCCCTTGTACGAGATAGTGGTCTGAGCCAATGTCTGCTCCTCTTCTTACTTTTGTGTCCAGTAGGCTGCGCCTCCACTTCCTTGAGATTGAGACGAATTCAATTTGGTATTTGGTTCGCCCATCTGGTGACACCCATGTAGCCTTGTGGATATCCTTGTGTTTGTATACGCTGCCACCAATCACTATTTCAATGAAGGTGCAGAAGTCGGCGAAGAGTTCTCCGTTTTAATTCATCTCTCCGAGACAGAGCCTCTCTACCCATGATGAGTTCCCTTCCTGTGTTGCCTGGTCCCAGTTTGGCGTCCATGTCTTTAATTAGTATTTTAATATCAGCAACTGGGGTGTTGTCCGTTGTTGCCTGTAGTTGTCTTTAGAATTCTTCTTTCTTTTCGAAATCTTCGTTGTTTGTGGGTGCATAGCATTGTATAACTGACACTTTCCTTCCTTTGGAGTTGAATCTGGCTGTCATTATCCTGGGCGAGATCGCCTCCCATTGCATCAGGGCCTTCGTTGACGTTGGTGACATCATGATAGCCTCGCCCTCGGTGTGCGTGTTGTTGTCTTCTCGGTGACTGGAGTAGATCACTGACTCTTCCGTTGACAATTTGGTGAGTCCATTCCCGTTCCATCTGCTTTCACATATTCCCAGTACTTGAATTCTGTATCTTTTCATCTCGTTTGCAATGTCGGAAGCTTTACCAATCCCGTACATCATGCGGACATTCCATGTCCCACACAGACTGTTTCTTTTGGCGCAAGGAGATTCATCGTGCTGAAGTTTCTGTAGAAACTTTGTTTACAGAGTGGGGTTGCCAGCCTCACGACTGATAAGGGGATTAATACATTAAAATATAGTTTACAGAGAAGCAACCTTGTGGGTTGCCTCTTTTTTATAAACCAGGAAAACAAGGAATAAAACAATCAGAGCAACACCAGCGAAAGGAGAATAATTCACAACAGGAAGGGCAACAAGCGACAACAACAATAAAAAAGCAAAACGTAAGCAGTAGTATCACAGTCAGATAAAGTTAACAAAAATGATACCAAAATCATAGACTCACTGACTTGAGCCAACGTGAACATGTTAACCCATCAATATATACAATAATAGATATTAGTTAGTGTTAGACACACAAAGTGCAAAGCAGATAGCTATATGTAGTATCAGGCAACAAGATTATATCCACAGATTCAGTGTTTGAAAGGCAAATAAATGCAATAATTTTGCAAATTCTTGATAGGAAATTCCACAGAAATAAGAGTTTTATATAAGAAATTGGAAAGTTTTATTGGAACACATACCAGAAAGTTACCCCATGTAATTATTTATGGCATTGCTTTACTTATATATAAACGCTTTCTTCAAATTACTCACTTTTACTCAAGGCGTATCTGATTCTTCGGTAACGGATTGTCAGGGCCTTCATCAGGTAGTTTCAATACGCGCTGTTATAGTTTACAGTCACCCAATACGTCAGCTCCCTGGTTTCCTCAAGGCCACTCAACTTAATCGGACAAAGTTAAACTTTAAGCATCAGTATACACCAGCAGACAAATGACCTAGAACGCATTAGCCATATGGTAAAGACGATTTTTGAGAATAAAATACGTGTATTCATCAGAATAACGAATCGAAAAGCATGGAACCTTTCCTGACGTGTGACAAAAGCAACCTCCCAGTTTTGCACTGAAGTATCATCAGAGTAAGTTAGCCATATTCTATGCATGCAATTATCTAGGTCTTCTAATCCTAACAGTAACCCTTATATTGCCTTAACCTAACCATAACGTGAAAATATCCCCAAACTAACCCACATCTTTTAATTCGTGAATAATCCCATCCAGCCATTAATAGAGACGAAACACGTAGACTTTTCTTTGAACTGTCTTCTTTTCACCAACCTGAATCTAACTTGAACCAACACTAAAGTCGCTGTCATCAGGTTAACCGAACCTTAACCTGTCCCTAGACTTAAGCCTAACTGCATCTATCCCAAACCTTACTTCCCAGGTATCCCATCTAATAATATTGTAACGACAGAAGACAAGGGCAAGGCAACAGATCCCTTGTTGAGAAAATCAACAGATATTTATAGATTTTTATGTACATTATTATTAGTGTTATTGTCAGCGGTGAAGCAACGTTTCATGTCTGGTTGTTTTCTTGCTTAAAGTTATTCTCTACTGCTTGTGACCACTTCTTAGAAAGTTAAGCCGTATATCTGCGAATGGCTTTTGCACACGCTAAGTTTGATGTGATTGTTTAGTGAGTTCCTCAAGGTTAAGCCTTGCTATTGCTTTTTCTCATGACTCTGATTCCGGACGTGGACATTGATGTAAATTTTTGTCTATATTTTCAGGTCACAGACAGCTCTCACCACAATATAACACGTCATTTGGCATATTTTATTCACGATTACGATATTGTTCACAAATTCCCACTAGCTCACTGAGTGTTTCGAGTTCATTGGTGCGGTTGCACTTCATTGGTTCGTACTGCTGCTTAAGGTTTAACTGTGTCCTTAATCAAGAAAACACAACGACATGATATGGCAGGTATGTTAAACAGTATCCTTATGAGTATATTAGTCAGTTTACCAAAGAAAACAATTATATGCACATACATATCTGGTCAAGGATGTAGGCGTAAGCGAAAACATCTAGACTGATCTTGAACACAATCCTACCATAAACATGTGTCATCTGATTGTTTTCATCTGACCGCATATCAGAACTATTCCTATCACATGTGTTAAATGCATATTCCATGAACAAAGATTCAGTAATCAACCTGTCTGTTCATCAAGATATACTACATTTTAATAATAATAGCTGCGTTCCACACTATTGTGTGGTTGTGTGTGAATATGCACACTGCAACCACCGTCTTTTGATTTGCAAATAAGTCATCCTCTCAAGGTCAATCATTCTATATTGAGCTACACTGACTACATCTTTACATTTCAGCTCAAAATAAATTTCAAAACAGAAGGTATAGCAGTCGGAACACGAATATCCTCAGTCGTAGAAGATATCTTCATGGGTTGCTGGGTAAATATAATTATGTATATATTTACATATGGTCCTCCTCCAAAAGATATGGAGATGTCATACGGTTGACATTTTCACAATAATTTGACTTCAAGCAAGCAGTTAATCGCATTCATCATATATTCCATTGCAAGCATCATCTTTAAATACAACGTTTCCATATATATTCTCAGAATAAATGAGAGTAAGCAAATTAAACTATATGCTAGTACTGCTAAATACAATTACTTTGTCAAATATTACGTAGCAAGTATTTTGTGCCAAAACCAGAAATGTCAAATGGCAAAACAGTTCATGTCATATATAGAATAATTCATAGGATGAATAGATCTTGGTTGAGGTGTACAATTATATGATTAGTAGGCAAATAGAATAAAAATAAAAACTGTACGTACGTAATACTGTGTGAAATGTGATAGCATAGAATTTAACGTTGTAAAACAGAATTGATTTAGAATGACAAGTGGAGCAAGCCAATTAATACCGGGGACAGTTCAAAGTGAGAATAGTAATAGTGACAATTGGCGTAATAAAGGATGAGTATAAAAATCGAATAGACAAGAAGAAATAATTGGTAGAGCCCAATATGCTTAGTGATCGCCATACTTCAGCCAAGACGGATTAAGACCATGAGAGTTGGAGGAGTTGAACGAACGCCTCCTTTATACAAAGATCTGACTTTTCTGTTGCGACGGCCAAAGCTTCATCATTATATATGAGCCGGATACGTAGTGATTTGGGCAGATTGTTTGTCGCCTTGTAGATGACTCTAAAGGCGGAGGTTGTAGAGACAGGGTGATCATTATCGACCAGATGTTCAATGATAGCACTTCTTATTGCTCCACTTTCACATCTTGTTAACCATGCAGGATAGTGATCTTGCATCCTGTTGGGCAAAACTCCAGTCGAACTACCGATATACATAGCTCCACACGAGCAGTTCAATTGATAAACGCACAAGCAGTTGGTCAACTGGGGGATCTTCTCCTTCAGGTTATTGAACAGTAATGGTCAACTTGTACAGGCTATTCTCGAAGATGCAGCAGGGAATGTCCTTTTCAGGTATAACTATTCCTCCAAAGGATGATGACTACATATGCGCCTAATGCGATTGTCAAGCGACCGGATGAGGTTTCGTTTTCGACCAATGAGTATTCAGCTGTACAACTAACACATCAGTAAATAAATAGCTATTCGTTTCCTGCAGCCGATTAAATAATTTCATTTATTCTACGTGTACTTTGTAAGACATTTGTGGATGAGATAAATTCGTTACACTATAAAATGTTTGTAACTCAGTGTTGTCGTGAGTACTTGAGTATCTAAGTAGTGTTGGCTCTGAAAACAGATAACTCTCGATTACGTTGATGCTGTAGCCTAACAATGTGGCATTATTACCGAGGAATGTGCCAATAATTCGACCGAATTTTCTATATTTGACTTACATTACCTATGTAAGTTAATAAAATTAATAATGAGTTGATATCTTAACGATACAGTCATTAAAACTACCAATTTTCGAGTATTTTAATCAATTACATGAATTCTTATTGGACATAATTTTGCTTTAAATTCGACGGATTTTCGGGTAGTAATCATCGAGTGGAATTCACTTTGAAATACTGTGACAATGGAGTACAAGAGAGTAAGTGCTTCATTGATGTAAAACAGTATCTAATTAACCTTCTTTCTTCCTTTATTTCATTTTCACTTTAGTTAAGCGTAGTCATTTTCGTTATGCTTGCTGTATATTCGTTTGCCGTGTCCGATGTACAAGGTAAGTGTTTCAACGTTGAATATGTCTAATTTGCCTAAGTCAATTGAATAATAAGACGCAGATACTGTACACCACATAAATCGCCATTGTCACAAGCTGATAATTTACATAACAGGAGCAGCTAACAGTAGGACCATTCTAGGGAATTATATTTTTAGTTCTTGTGCTGATGGGTCTTTTAATTTTGAAGCTTTCGTTTCCTTCTCATATATCATCTGGATGTGATCTGCAAAGGACTATATCTATACTTTTTGACTGAAGCGTAATAAAACTGAAAGCACTCACCATGAGCAGGTGGTTTCCTCCATTATTTTAAGGAATTGTCGCCTTCCATGTATTCGAAAGGATCAGGTTAGATGTAGATTATTGTTTTGATTCCCTTTTATTCCGAGTGGAACATAGGCCTCCACCATCACTTCTCTATTTCACTCTATTTTCTGAAGAATATTTTAGCCAGCTCTACGATTGCCTACACGCCTTAGTTCTTTGTTGCTTATCCTCTCAGGCCGGCCATCTATCTTAGGTATGTGGCGAAGACAGGTGTTGATAAAATAAAGACCATGACTTATAAGAAGTAGTCTGAGATTACAAGAACTGTGATATCATAAGTTATTCGTGAAGAAATAGAAGGAGAATTACAGGTTTTATAATCACTTGTACTTCATTCAAGTAGTTTTCAAGGCATTCTGTATTCAAAGAGAGAAATAAACAAAATCATAAACAGGATGTTTAACAGACAATCTGACCACATAATTCAAATGACAAATCTGAAAAATACTTTTGCTTACACATTTGAGTTGATTACTTCAAGCAGATGGCAGTTATTTTAGCAGTAAGACGTTGTATGTGGAAACATCCATGGATAGCATTCACTGCATACTGGTAATTCTTCAGTGAAATACTTGTGTTTCGTGAACAGATGGTTTAGCCGCAGAGTACTTGTCAACCACGCACTTTATCTGGGGTTCGATTCCTGGTCACTGGCTCACTCGCAAACCTCGCTTAGTCGGCAGTAAGCTCATTAAAGACGGAAGGTTGTGAGTAAGTAAATGAAAAAAAATACTGCTAAAGAAACTTCAAGGCTTGAAGCTTGCAGCCCTATACTTCATTCGAAATTTAAAGGAATAAGGTGAATGGTATCTGTGTTTTGTCATAACACTAGAAGATATTTTCATCGGCAGTATATTTCTCTCTGTCTTCCTCATTATTATTATAGCCAAGAAGAAGGTTGGGAAACGATGTACTAAACCTCAGAAAGGTAAGTCCCCTAGTTTTTAGATTTCACTAATCGTTTTGCTCACTTATTAAATCACTGATCCCTAATCACTTTCTATTGAGATTGATTTCAACACTGTCTATGCTGACTGCATTAGTCATAAAATCTAGGATTCCTAATTGCCACCTGAACACAGCCATGATTACGAGGACGGAACTCTTTGTAATAAATCCATATACATTGAAATGTCTTCAGCTTTAAACCACTCTACCTCAGTGTTTAACTATCTCATTTTAATCTTCCAGAGTGTTTATTGCTATACTTTTCGTCTGTTTCACTTAGATCCACTTTCTAAGATTCTATTTTCATACTTCTACTTCTTTCCTTTCCTCTTTTGTACTAAACAAAGTCCCTATTACGTGTGTTCCAAGTATTCCTTTCCTCCAAAGAAACTAAAAGTCAAGGCCATTATAATTGTATACAGGATCAGAGGTGATATCTGTTAAAACAACTTAGAGAAAGATTTGCAATAGCAAACTCATTCATTAAAAGCACCAGTGCTGCTGTAAATTGAAAGCTCTAGCTTCAAGTTTTATGTTCCACTAGGAACGCAAAGGAACTAAACACAATAAAAATGTCAGTAAGTTGCCAGACAAAGGAATGAACGTCTTGTAAGCAGTTTCTGGATAATTATGAGTGCAAACCAATATATTCATCAGTAGGTATTCCATCACAGCCAATTCATTCAACTTCAGGTTCGGTTAATTCTGCTCACTTAACAACCTTTCTGCATCTATTAGTTTTTCACAGTAATGACAGATGCAGCTAGGCTACAATGACTGTACCACTGAATATTGTACATTTGCTGTTGAATCACTGGTTTTGAATCCAAAAAGTCACGCCCTCTTCATCCATTTCTTCAAAATGTCATCGTGTAAAACATTTCCACATATACATATTTTCAAATGAACATTGTAACTACTTAATTCCTTTTCCATAAGGCGTACATTTCGACACATTTAAGATGTACTTGCTGACAGTTGTGCAGTCGCATTTCACCTAACTGACTAAATATATCAGAACAACTTCTTTGTTGATTTCCGAAAATCTACTTGTAAAATAAGCACTACATGACTAGTAGCTTCGTATGATTGATGTGATTCTTCTGGTCAATACAAATTGTCAGATCTCACATCATGACTAGGTGTAAGGTTGTATGTGCACTTATTTGATGAGCACCTTAAATAAATAACTAATCTTCGTCAATTTTCACAAATGTTATCAGCAGTCAGTATTCCAGTTACTTCTGAAGCCCAACGTTTTAAGTGTCCGACTGAGTGCATCTGACTTATGACGACGTTTCTCAGTGTTAACACGGCAAAATAACAGAAGATTGAGTGTCATTACTTACAGGGCTAGTTGGCTCTCAACACCTTTTACACATTGTTATTATTATTCGTTAATTGGATTCCAAATGGAACATAAGACTTCAACGATACATCTCCATTTCACCATGTTCTCATGTGTGTTTCCTAGCTCACCACATGATTGCCTATAGGCTTCCTTTCTTCTTCACATGATCTAGTCCAACAACATAATCGACTCACATCTTACTTGTCACCTCTCATTCAGATTATGCTCGGGAGGCTGAATGGCTTTAAATGTCAGTAAATGATCTCCTCCGAATTTCTCCAATATATCTGCATTTCCTTCAGAATAATTTTCGGATATATGTTGTCAGTTGGTTCATCACCAGAGTTCTTTGTAGCTTATCCTCTCTGTTCGACCATCTGACTTTCAGTATGGAGCGAAGGCAGGTGCTGATAAAAGTCTACAACATGTAATAAGTTGCTGAAGCATACGGAATCACTGCATTGACATCAATTTTCAAAATACGAATCTTGCTTCTTGTTGTGAATGCTGTAGATCTCAACGCTTATTTCACAGTATTGAACACATGTCTTCCTTTCTCCACCACAACCTGGCTGGTCTTGATATCTTCATAATTGAAAAGATCCTGTCTAATAAAGTGAAGGGGACGCCTTCCATTAGATCCATGCTTGCCACTTATTTCCTTAATAAGGAACTATAATCAACTTTCGCAGTATAATTAACAGGCTAACAGGTGAGCTATGATAATCACTCAAGTGATAATAGAATTAGATTTTCAAGTGCCTACTGCAATTATTTGACTCATGATTTTATCTTTATTTAAGAATTATTGTATCTCACCCTTGTAATGAGTTCCACATTTCTTATTCGCTTTGTTACCTCAATAAAATATTTTGTTTGATGTAGATAACGAAGACTGGGAAAGTTCTGACTACACCAATGTAATTGACGCTAGCCTGAAACGATTCCTGTCTGACTATAAAGGTAAACTAAATTTATATCAATACATATTTTTGAAATTGGCGTATTAATGCACCCCTATTTACTCACTTGATTCAGCGTTCAATCTCCAGTCAGTGACGCACTCTGAACCTTAACTGGCCTCTAATAAGCCCGAGACAGAGGTGAGGTTAGGCGTGAGGCCAGTAACAACCCCGCAAACAATATCATTGCTACTGTAAATTCAAGGTTTCAAACCGGAATGCATATCTGTCACTCGGAGAGCAAGGAATGATAAAAGGGACACAGCCATAACTTTACTGGATTGCAGAATGGCATCTTATCAGCATAATGAGTGTGTATTGCCTTAGGCTTTGTCAGTAAAAAATTCTTAAGTAGAAGGTATTCAATCTTCATTACTGAATACGCCTCTGTTGTAGCAATTAGAAGCCTGGAGATTTACAGTTATTTCTGCAGAGAAACGAAGTTTTAGTATTCCATGATTTATTATTTCGTCATTTAACCTGTAACGAATCAAACTCCAACAACCCAACACATGATAGAAGTGAATTCAGATGAAGCTTCTTGATACTTTGCAATTAGAACACTACACGATTTATGACATATCAGAGAATTCAACTCTCTAGGATGAATTATAATATCTGAATTTGAATAAGGAAAATTCCTTCTTAGTTATTGGAATTTATAAGTACAAGTAAAGTGGTACAGTGTATAGTGAGTGTCTCCGAGATCGTTTCGTATAGCGTTATATATTTGCCCACTATTTGAGATAACTTTTGCGTTGCATACCATAAACAGTTAGATTTCAGTAAAATAAGTTAGAATAACTGTAACAATATGCGCACTTCAGTCCCAATTTAGTAGTAGTTTATATAATAACTTGCAACGAGAAATTCCTTTGCCAAAAGTATTTCAACATAAAGGAAAGCTAAAACAGTCAAAATATATCAAGTCATCTGAACTCTAATTACACGGATAATGTACACTACAATTATGTCGTTTGATTGGTGGTTGTTTGCAGAGGACTTCAGGAAGTTTAATTCTATCCGATTGATGACTTGTCAGTATCCCCAGTGAATTATGCTTTTTCAGTTGGAAATGAGGATACAAGTCTCAAATAGGATGAGTAACGAGCTTCCTGTATCAAAATACTAGCCAGTATATCAGTCAAAGATCAACCAACCGATCGGTGTATCACAGAGATACTGTACTTCAGTTCTATATAATGCATTAGTGGAAAAGTCAAGATAACAATTTCAACAAATACACTAGCATTAGCTACAAACTTAGTCTAAAGAGACCTAAGCAGCCACTGAGTGTTTGCAATACTTCGAGATGTACACAGTGCAAATTTTAGCTACTCATAAAAGGTGTGTTTGTGTGTCATTGCAAAACAATCTCTGGTATAAAATATACCAACTGTGGTATTTAGAATACTTTAATCCCATAAAAGAAGTTATCGTCAAAACTTTACCGTGACCTGTTTGATTACAGATAATCCGGAGATTCGTATAGTATCGCTACTGTAATTGTGACCAAATAGTTTTTTATCAAGCTTTTGCAATTTCAGTGTGTTGACTATTTAATTCTGTTTTTATTTAGATGATGAGATCAAGAAAGAGATGGAAAGGCTACTCGCAATTGCGGATGCGAATAAACCTGTTGAGAAGGAAGAAACAGGTAGGATTGGTAATGCCACCAATAGTAGTATTACTAATAATGATATTATGAATAATGTCTGATACTTTGAAGTTATTCCTTAAAATAATGCTGTGGTATTCCTTGTTAAACTCAATATCATATCGCCTTAGAATTCAATAATTACGTAGAAAGAAGTGGCATTCCAAACTTTTGATGCTTGCAATGAATTTGAAATTACAAAACTGAACGAAAGCATGAAGGTGATAGGCAATAGGACTCACCTGACAAGATAATTCAAGCAAAGTATGATTATAATTATTAGATAGTGGTCTTGATTCATCTTAATTCTTTCTTGTCTTTCAAGTGACATCTAGCTAGTTTGATATTTTTGACCGAAGCAACCATGAAATCAGTCAAGGATGGGTGTATCCCATAGTCTTTGATTATCACTATTCCTTTGGGTTCCAAAGGGAACGTGAGGCTTAAAGAGCACTGTCTTCTCAACTGTCTTTCAAAGTTGGTCCCAAGATTTTACATAAGCTTACATTTTTTCACACATAATCCCCGTGTCACTCTAGGACCCATGGCCAACTGGGCATCTGATGTTATTTATTGGAGTCCTTAGCGTGTCTCTGATCCATCAACTTCTGCATATGTGCTGGACAGCAGATTCTAGGTTGGTTTGTTGCCAGAGTTTCTGGTTGCTCATCCTTTCAGGTAGGCCATCTGACAGACATTGATGAAATTCTGAAACTTGCTGGGAATGATTTGAATGACGTCTGCGCCTAGCCTCTGGATTATGTAGAAGCACTGACTGGTTAAACATTAGTGCTCTCTATACTGTGTGTGTAGTAGACTTCGTCACTGATTTCAGAGTAATGAAGGTATGCTTTGTTTTTCTGATTCTGGTTGGCTTCAACCTCCTCATCTGTGCTGCCTACCTCACAGTCTAGATAAACTAAAATCTTTAGGTAATAATATTTTGCTTGTGCTTGACAGTATTTCACTCACTATGTGAGTACGAGGAACAACAGGCCATTATGCAGAAAAATCTTTCATTTTGTCTCAGTGTTATTTTACAGGTTTAAAATTTATTCGAGAAACATCTATGCATGATACATGGTACTAAAATTACAATGAAATAATATTTTTTCTTCCATCTCAGATGAACCTGGATGGGAAACAGAAACTGAATCTGAAAAAGAAATAATTGTTGGTACAGTGAAAAGAGGTGAAAAGATTCAACGAGGTAGATTTCATTTTCCCCAGTTAATTCAATCGTAAAGTTTATATGATAAATACCCTTCGGTATATTAGTATAAATATGCTTCAGCAGTAATTTTTACAAAACAAAGGAAGAAATTCAAAGAACATTAACAGAATGTGGGTCCAGATAAAGTCAAACTGATAATAACTGACTTCACTGCAATACAGCTTGAGCTTTGAATTTTCAGTATCAGTGGAGTTTCTTTTTACTGGAGGGAGTTGCTAGCCTCACGCCCAACCACACCACCTTATCGGTCTTACTAGTAGGTATTGGGAGATCGCGTCGGTAGGGAATCGAACTCCAGACCATCTGTATTCTACCACTCAATTACTCAATCACCAGTGTGATACCACTTGATATCATGCAAAATATGCGTGTAGAGAACAGTACGGTCACCACATATCAATTATTCCTTAAATAAAATATATCCATGTGTTTTGAAGCCATGAAGACATAAGTCCCCACGAAAACCTACAATCTAAATGTCACTCTACAAATCATTGATGGAGATGGATGGATTTCCTGGAGCAGTGCTGAGAAGTCGTAGCCAGTGAGGTCATTCATGTTAAGGTGCATTGCATAGTCATCAAAGAAACTGGTTACGGATGGTGCAATATCACGGACTGACAGAAGTCAGAATTCACGGGTCATTAAATTAATTTTTAGATGGCTGAATGGTCAACGAACTTGGCCTCATAAACTCATGATTTTGGGTAAGGCGCCTGGTGAGGTGATGTGTGTGCATTACTGAACAGTCTCAAACTAGGACGGAACAGCCGTTCACTGCTCCATGGTTTTTAATCGTCTTGAAGTGGTGATGGTTCCTGACGAAGTCTACACTGAAAAAAGACATCAGTTTTACAAATATTACTACTCTGGTGACTTATGTCAAAGCTGAACAGCAAAGCATTCATGTTGGGTGTCAACAAACATCAACTTCACTCAGTAAAATGGGGTACTTAATGTTATATCAAGCAGCGATGCTTGCAGCTTCCTAAACGTGACTGAATTTTCTTTCACAGACTAAGAATTAAGTGCTATAAATTTTTGAAGAGTGTTTACTAGACAGTAAGTATTTAGAGAGAGTAATATTGTTCATCAAATAAACAGATTTGGGATTGTCTTTGACGTTTCGAAGAATAATGCAGAGGAGAGATACATCGAAGAGCACTTTGAATTCTTCTCTATAATTGGTCTGAAAAACTCATACCTTTTCATTTCAGATTGACAACAGATTAGTCCTTTTGTATTCCTAGGTTTTTCAAATCATTTTTCTCTTAAAATGTTTTTCAATGAATGAGAATCGTTATTCATTGTGAATGACAATGTCTCACAAGCGCTCTAATTCCAGTTTATTCAAGTGTTTCAAATCCTTGTGAGAAGGAAGGTGAAGTGGTTCTCTCTTCTAGTTGTTGGGTCTAATTCCAGCTGAGGGTGTCCTTAGTGTATATACAGTCCAGTCTGCACTTCCTTCTGGATATCTGTTGTTCGACGACAAGGAACTTTATCTCGTTGGTGACTAGCTACAAGCTGAAGTAACCTGCAGTTCTACTGAGACGTCGTGACCAGTGAGATACACCATATCGGGCATGAGGACAAATACTCGCCGATGACGTTACACGACGGTGGTGCTAAATTCATGAATAAGTAGCAGATAGAATTCATGGGTCATTAGATCGACTCCCAGTGGCTGAAATTTCTACGAGATTAGCTTGTAACCGGAAGGTCTTGGGACTGAACTTTGATGGGTGTGTACGGCCGATGAGTCCCAAACGTAGAAGAAATAGCTTCCCAATACTCCCCAACTTCCCAAAGGTTCTCTACCTGATGTCAGCTCGTGATAGAACTGGAGAGAAGTATGTCACCCACATTTGGACTGTAAATGTTCAAGCAAATGATAATTGCTTCTGGTATATTATCAGACTGATGTAAAACTATGTTCTCTTAATATGATCTGAGATTACACTTACCCTATCTGAAAGTCAAAGTTATTGAATGTAATACCATCCTCTGGAGAAAAGTTTAGAATAATGCCGTATGTTGCTTGTTTCATTCCTTTCAGGTGGTCCAAATGAACGCGTTATACTAAAGGAGAAAAAGCCATTCAGCAAGGATAAAGGTAGTTAAATAACCTAACTATATACTATTCTTTATTATACGCAAGTGGACTAAAGTGTAATTACTCAATTATCACATGAATAAATTAGTCCTAGAACATAATATGTAACAGTGATGAGTGAATTTAGTAGTCTATTAAGTGGAGCATTTAGTCAATGGTGAGGTCGTATTGTAACAGCAGAAGACGAGAGTATTTGGTAACGGAATTACATATTGGCGTTTTTATGCACAGATATAAGCTAAGTACAATCAGCATATATTAAAATAACAATTTTCACACGCCCTTCGTATTGTGCCTCTTTGTCTTCCATCCATGTTTTCTATATTGTTTCGAGAGAAATATTCATCGCTCTTATTCACCGTTGAATACTTTTACTCGCTGTTCTTACAAATCATATTCACATTTGTATCCGAATCTACATACTACTTATTAATCTTGTCAGTAGCACACGCTGCAATATGGTTCATGATGATCGAGGCATAAAATTCATTTGGTCGGTTGTATATCCTAATCATCAGTGAATGAGATATTGTACAGCTCATATGACAAAATATCATGAACTACCACTACTTGCTGTCAGCTGTCAGCGTAAACATCATGAAGAAGGCATTCAAGAATGATACAGTCGTCTTATACTGGAATGTATTTCATTCGGTACGAATCTGCTACGAACCCCCTAAACTTGTCAGTAAATGAACAAATCTAAGAAACTGATACACATATTTGATATTTATGTTAAAATGTGATCGGTGGATTTATCTGATCTACGAATTCGCTTGAATATGTCGAATAAATGATCACTCACTTTTGTAAGACAAGCTTCTAATGCAGTCACCAGCCTCTTTTATTGCCAAGTATCAGATGAAACAACAGATACACAGCGGAGGAATGAACTACGGCAACAGTTTCATTCACAGATATTAGAGTAGAGTAGACGGCTTTGAGAAACACTCAATCGAGAAGAGTAGTCAGCTGCGGAAAACATCCTTTTCAGTTGAAAAGGATATGCAGATGTTTCGCATTTCTGTACATGAGTATTTGTGAGATTGTAGACTCAAGAGCAGTAACAATATAAAAGACGAAATACAATTTTGATAAATGAACCCCACATCATAATATCAATAAATTAGCGCCCTATTCAATTAAAGTGATCATTTATCATTTTTAACTTGTTCAGGTCAATCAGATTGGGAGATAACAGATGAAGACGAAAGAGAAGTATTCGTCAGAGGTCATTAATTGAGGAATTAATCAAGCAAGTCATATGAAAATCTCTTGTGTTCTATTCAGAATAGCTTTATCAATATAATGTTTTCACAAGATTTAACTTAACGATTCTCTTTAAATCCAAATAGTACTTATCTATATTTGTGTGACTGAAAAGATGATATTGTCACTGAATTGAAAGTAACAGACCAACGTCATCATACTGATAAAGGGATAATTTGTTCGTCTCAAGAGAGAATTACTATCCTTTGACTTAGTTCTCTGAGACTATGCAAGTTGTACAGATTATTGGTACAGTAAACATTCATCCAAATAGTTGATGCATGTCTCTTGTGAAGACCAATCTGCAATCAAGCATTCCGCAAATATTTCAGGCGATATACACTTATTCGATGCTAGTTAATGACTGCTTACAGAAGGAAATTTCCTGGAATTCTAGTGAAAATCATGATCAGTAGCGTCCACCTTATCAGCGGTGACGACAAATA